CTTTGTAATTTGTATTATAAGTGTTGTTATGAACGATTGTTTGTATAGCATTTTCAAAACTCTTCGGAATAGTTTTAAGGAAAGACTCTGTGACATTCATTTTAAATGCTACACTAGCTGAGTCCGGTGATATGTGACAAGAGTTTTCATACATACGATTAAACAAACCACATAATACTGATTTCATTTCATATCCATCAACACAATCAACTGTTTCACATTCACCATGTGCTAACGAAGCTAATTTCATATTATTCCATTTAATACGAACAAAATTAGGCACATTATCAATTTGAATTAATTCATTTTCCGTATCAATTTCACCATAGTTGCACATGGAATCCGCATCAAACGGATCTGCATCAACACCGGCTAATTGTTTCGCATAGCCTTATCCTGAGACACTACTTCCAGATAGAAAGGCCGATGTAAAAAGGCTTGTTGTCATTGTGATTGTTGTAGAAAATAAAACGTTTCTATGAAGAAAAAGAAATCTGCGTGTGTGTTTTGCTGTTCTACTCTTTCTGACTGTTATATGCAATGCGTTTCACAAAAACATAAAATGAGATTAAATCTTTGAGAGCGCAAAAAAGCCTGTTTTGTTTTTGTTGTTATAGTTGTTCTGTGTATCGAAGAGAGAAGGGACGTCTGTTGCTTTGTTTATGAGTCATAAACAAAGCAATAGACGTCCCTTCTCGCGCATATGTGTCATAAATTATGACACATATGCGCGCAATATAAAATGTAACCATAAGTTTCGAAGGAAACGCATAAACATTCAATAGACCCACTAGTATTATGCTCATAAGTAAAGCAGTGATTTTTATTTTATCCGCTGTCACGAACAGGATTTATTTACTGTGCTTCTAGGATTAGTCATGAAAGAATAAAGCCCATCAAACTGATGTACGACTTTGGCTCATTTTCGCTTTATTTCTTTTTCTACAGCACGGCATTCTCCTCGCAAACACTTGTTTCAAATTGAACTACCTAATTTTTCTACGTCGGTCATGAGTAGAACAGCTTAGCGCCCGATGTTGTGACACTTTCTTCCTTTAATTTTTTTGTTTTAAAAATACAACAGTTCCTCTAAGAAATAGTAATTTGTAATTTTTATCTTTGTCTGTGTATTTGTGTGCCATTAGATGGGCGTCGATAAGCCTTCAGCTTTTGTCTATGCTTTTTCTATTTGTCATCGCGAATCAACAAATAAATACATTCACAGGAACTGTTGATCGTTAATAAGAAATAACTAATGACCACAGTAAAGAATAGTCAACGCGTACTAGCCTTCTATCCAAGAATGGGGTTTAGGCAAGATCTGAATGCCTAAAACAACAGTCTTGAACACCCCATACTAGAATTATCTATTACTATCACCGTAATGACATAATGAGAGACCCGTCAATTTATCCAGAAGACGATTAACGAGAAATGACATTCTAAAGAAATGAATCAACCACGATGAAATTCTTTTGAAAACATTAAAATTCTAACTGGCAGAGAATTAAAGTGATTTAAGCGATCGCTATTGTGAGTGCTAGCTAAGCAAGCGAAAAGTTATGTTCACCGGCTAATCAGAGTTTTTCAAAAGCTTTTGCTTTTTTTGTCATTTGAGTCGCTATCTCTCTGTTTATCTGTCGCCCTTTAAAACTACCAACTCCCTTAATTATGATCCTAGATTCATGTGAGCATAAGCTACTCATGATCTAAATTTGAGTCAAATCTGTGATACTCAGAATCACCATGTGTCAAACACTAATACAAAAGAGCGCGCAAAGTATTCGAGAAAATGAAGCCACCAGAAAACTGTTAATTAAAACTTTTGCTGTACTATAGACTTTTTTACAATCTTTGGAACGGCGCTTGTTTTTACAGCGATACGAGAAAAGAAAAAAAGAAAGGACAAATTTTTTTCGGTTACATAAAACAGCTGTGCATTATTATGGAACAATTTACGCTGAAGGTGAAGGCATAAGTGTTTTCGCCACAGAAAATATCCATTATAAGTTTCTTATTAACGAGTGCGATGGAATAAATATCTCTCTCAGTATTTGTCGAATATATGAGTGAAACGTACAATCATTGTATCATTTTGAGAGTATAACTATTGGTCGATACGGACTAGATATATAATAGAGTTAAAGTTAGATACTTTAGTTCCGTATTTTAATTTTAAAATTTAACAAAAACAACAAACGTTTCGACCTCTTTTAATTGAGGTCTTCTTCAGTGTACATAATAAAATATATAAAATATAAAATGTAAAATATAGTTAAAATTCTATATCATATAACT